ACTCCCCACGTGTGTCTCACGGTCACGGTACGATGACGATTGACTTAATGACACGTTCGCACGTTCACGGTCGTGAAAATCAGGCCATAGAATGAAAGAGAGAGAGAGAGAGAGAGAGAGAGAGTGACAGAGAAAAGGAGAAAGAACGTGTTTTATATGTTGACCATAAAGAATAAGACGAATCGACCCTTTACACATTTTTCTTCCTTTACTCGACATCATTTTTGAGAAGAATACAAGTCGAAGGCTTCTCAGAAAATAATCTGTCCGCCTTGATCAATTAATTTATCTGTCAGTTCGAGCAAGAAATAACATCGACAATTTTGCGATACACTTATGATCTCTCTTTCTCTTTCTTTCTTATTAATATTCATTTTGTTTCTTATTTATTTTGTTTATTTGTTCATTACTATTATATAATTTATCGAAAAAAAGAATTAAATTCAAATATTTACTTTTTAATTTAATTCTATTTAAAAAAAAAAAGGTAATCTAATTTTTGTTAAAATTATAATACAATGTAGTATAGTATTANATATTTATTTATTAGGTTGACTGATAAGTTGTGTGGAAATTTGTAGAAAATAATTTAAAGAAAAATAAAATAATAATATTAATAATTTAATATATAATTGAATATATATGATAATATTTCTTATAATTTCCTTATAATTTATTTATCTAATTCCTTTATATATTTTTTTGTTCATTATTATTTTAAAGTAATTTGTTGATAATATTATATAAATCATTATTTCCAAAAAAAAAAAAAAATATAATAGAAATTCATTAATCTTATTTCTTAAATTTGAGCAATAAAATAAAATGTAATATAACGATCGAATTACGTTTATCGAAAAAATGATCGCAATGCGGATTGATAAATTGTTATTATAAGGCATAACGACAGATATATATTCGCGATAAGATATATAAGGCTTAGCGAATCGTGAAAATATTTCTCAACGCACATTTACACATAATATTATACATTTTTACATCGTACCGTAACCGTAAATCCAGATATCGATATACTTCTTACAAACAATAAAATAATTTCTGAGGTAATCAATCAATATAGTTTATTGCACGAATGTTTTTGCTTCTGACCTTAATGAAAAATATGATAATAAATAAGCCCCCTTTGGTGATTACTGATAAGATTTCTTCCTTTTCTACTTTTATATTTACGCGAAAACTCGACGAACAAATCGGATTTCTTGTTTTATCGAGATAAAAGACTTTGCAGTTATCTTTGTATTTATATTTCAACAAATCATCTTCGAAAAACGGTGAAATTTCTTTTGTTTATAATAAATATAAGTTTCCTTAAACTTTTGTCACACGGTTAATTAATTATTAATAATTAATAATAGCAATTTATTCAAACACGTTATAAATGATAAATTAATAACCAAAATCTTGTCATTAAAAGTAATTATTTTTCTAAAAACTTTGTAATATTTCTCCTTAGTTCATCTCCTTTTTGTTTCTTTATTATTATTAGGAAATTTGTTGGCTTGAGAACTTTGTTTAATGCTGAGTGCATAGAGGTGTTATCGCTGACGTTAACACAGCACTTAAGCGGGTTCTGTCTCATACTAGAAATCGCTCAACGGTTTTGCGGTTACCGGTAGAAAATAACTGGCTGTGTGTCTATCTTCTTAGAAAAAATTACACATCCACTAACATATATATATAAATATATGCACACATATACAGTGTAAAAGAAAAGTTAATTTATTATTTTCTCGTAAATTTATTTACGAGAGTAAGAAAATTGTAAAAATCTTTGAAATTCCTTTCAGTTCCCATGCCTAAACTAATCTTCTTCTCCATCTTTTCTAAATTCTCTTTTTTTTTTTCTTGTACCCAATTCTCCCCTCGTTTCAAAGGTTTAACTATACGCTCGTATGCACTCGTATATAAAATGTTTAGGATATGTATACCTGCGCCCACCTTTTTCTTTTTGTTAGCTACATCAGGTATCAAAAAAAAAAAAAGGGAGAATATATATATATGTCGAAGAAAATTCGAATAATTTTCTTGTTTATTTAAATCGTCACGTTTTAACTAATCGATTTATTAGGTACTACACCTACGTATCCTAAAAGTAACATACTTCTCTGACACATCGTCAATATCAACGTTATAACGGTTTAAAGAGCAAGTTACTTACGAAATTCCTACGGTGGTTTTGTTTCTACTTTTCTCAACTCATAATACAAGCGTACAAATTTATCGATTAGATAAACCTTTATTCAATGACATCATGCGTATAAACGGGGACACATTCGTCGAAACTCTTATCGTTTTACCATTCTTTGAAAAATATTTGTATTCTACAAAACGGGGGTAACAAAAAAAAATCAAATGATTGAAAAAAAAAAAAAAAGATACACACGAGTCGATAGTTGAACAATCATTGTTTTAAATCGGATTAATAAACACGAGAATTATTATTATCATCAATCCTAATCGTTTTCTAAGAAAAATCTATGACATATTTTGTCATCGGTACTTGTCAATAAATCATCCTTTTCTTTTTTTTTTTTTTTCACGTTAATAAAATTATCGTAGACTTACTTAATACCTAAATATAGAAACGATCGTGTTCTACATTATGACAACTACTGGTACTATCGCTAATAAGATAGCATGTTCGAAAAAAGGGAGCAAAATGAAGCTCGAAGAACGAGTCTGTTGATTGTTTAGTTTCTATGGTTATGGTTTCGTTATATGTATATAATATTTAACAACTAATGTTTATACTTAAAATATATTATACATTCAATTATATGAACGGTCAATTTTAACGTTAGATTTTCTACGAATTTATTTATTTATTTTTTTTTTTTAAGATACAATAAAAACAACTCGACTTCCTGAGATTAGGCATATTACCTTTCCGAGGATAAATCGTTTCGTTGGACGCTTATGACTAATAATTTTCCACGAAGAACCTTGTACGAACATAAAATGTTCATTTTTATTTTATCCCTTTTTCTTTCTTCTTCTTCTGCTTCTTCTTTTTCTTCTTCTGAGTTCAGAACGACATCCCAGGTGAAAGTGAATAAAAGTAGAAGATGAGAATACTTCGTATAAAAGATTTATGTTCTGGTACTGCTCCTTCCTCCAGACAGAGATCAACTAAAAAAAAAAAAAAATATTGTTGTACCTAAACCAAATCTCTCCCCTTCTTTCTTTTCTGTTATAACGTGACTTTAAATGATACAATATAATAACATATTAATTTTTTTTTATCTGTTGTTCACATTCTTATTGTGACACATGTATATGTACTTGTATATAAATATAAAATAGATTTGTTTGTATGCATGTCAAATTTGTTCTTAACAGAAATATAAATATAAATATATATATACAATTATTTATTAATTTTAATTATTAATCCTATGAAATATAAATTTAAGATAATCTGAAAATATACACAGTATATACATATACAAAAATAGATCTTTACATCGAAACTAATTTGTATTACACAATTGAAACGCGTAATAATCTAAGAATAAATGAAATAATATTAACCATATAACACATATATGATGCAAAAAAATAAAATGAAGAATTTTCGTGTATCTTCTTGCTTGCAAATGATAGAAAAGAAAAAAAAAAGAAAAATAATAATAATACAAGAAATGATCAATTACAAAAGGAAGGTCAAGTAGTCGTGTTTACTTTGTGCAAGAAAATTTCTCTCTCTCTCTCTTTCTCTCTAGCGAAACGAAGTCAAGGTTTTCTCACTTCACAGGGATGAAATGAAAACTCAAAAGTAAAGTTTTATGAGAATTACACACGGTAAAAGAGGAACAAAAATTTTCTTTTCTTCGTTTTTGGTTTAAAAGCTGACCGTATGCGAAAACATTTTTACAGGAGTAAAAGGAGAAAAAAGAAGGAGAAAGAGGAACAGCAGATGGGTATGCGGAATGGTAGGTATGTTGTTCTAACGAGTCGTGATCGGGATTTGCTGTGACCAGTTTGAGACGCGTGAACTGCATCGGGGATACATAAATTGCATACGAATAGACAGAAAAAGAAAGAGAGAGAAAGAGAAAGAGAAAGACCGTATGTCTAACGGAATATATGCATACATCGTGGAGAGATGAATGCGGGGTGTCGGTCCAACACATTGGATGCCTTTCCTTTTTGGGTAAACGATCGAACTTCTCCATCGAGGTTTCAATCGTCCGAGGCATCGATTCTTTCCTTTTTCATTGCATCCTCTCCATTTTCAGAATTTGAAAAGTTCCTTCTGTAACTTTGTTTATTCGTCAGATTGATAAACGCTAATAACACTAATTTTTTCATTCATAAATATCCATTAAGATATTGTCCAGATATCTTTATTTATTTTATAATTCACTATAAATGCTTTTAAATGAATTTTTCTTCTTCTTTTATATTTATGTTTTTTTTAAAACATTTACAATATTTAGATAGATTCATTATATCAATTTTGTTCAATTTCTTCATAACGAATGTATGAGACTGATTTAAGTGTGCTTCTATTTTAATATTATGTGTTAATTTGAATAGAGAAGTAACGTTTAGGTACTTAGATACTTAGTATCGTTGAAATAAAAAAACGTAATGAGATCTCCGGATGTGAATTGGCTGAAATAAATTCTGAAATAAATCTCTTCTCTTCGCTATGCGTTGCATATGCTTATGGAGATGATCCATACGTACTATCATACACAGCAGAGGAACAACGAACTGTGGTGTTCAAACGAGTTAGGTCAGTGACTCCAACAGTAACGCTCGTGTCGCAGAACCCTACAGGATGCGTTACTTAGAACACTGGAACCTCGTATAATTAATAACTTGACGTAGAAAGGAGATGTGTAAAAAAGAAATCATTGCATGATTTAACGAACAAAAAAAAATCCCTTCTATCGTGTTAACAAATAAAAATGAGAACAATTTCTAAAAATGTTATTTCTATCTTATTTTATTTTATTTCTTTTTTTAAACAGATCAATAGCAAATACAGCGAAGAACTAGCTCAAGAGTCTTTGGAATGGATCAAGACGATCACTGGCGAGGACATAAACACCAATGGTGATATGGATAGTTTCTATGAGACTTTGAAAGATGGTGTACTTCTCTGCAGGTTCGTTTAAATTCGATAACAGAATAATATTTTTCAAATAAACCTTAACTCTCTTAGCTTTACTGCTACACCAGTAGTAGCAGTAGCAGTAGCAGCAGCAGTAGTTTAATAATCCTTTTCATCTTTTCGTATATATCTTTCCAGGTTGGTGAATGACATCAAGGAAGGATCCGTTAAGAAGATCAATAAAACGTCTTTGGCTTTCAAGTGTATGGAAAATATAAATGCATTTCTTGAAGCTGCACGAGCATTAGGTGTCCCACCACAGGAAACCTTTCAAACTGTTGATCTTTGGGAACGACAAAATCTTAACTCCGTTGTCATTTGCTTACAATCTCTCGGAAGAAAGGTAGATATATATTTTTTAAATATATTATAAGTATAATTTATATAATATAAATACAATTAAAAAAATATATTTTATAAATATTTTAATATATTTACATTGTATTTTAATTAATTATGTTTCTCTTTCATTCTTATATTTTTTTAAATGATATTTTAAATCTTTTTAGGCGGGTAATTATGGAAAACCAAGTATCGGACCAAAAGAAGCGGACAAGAACGTCCGTAATTTTACCGAGGAACAACTTAGAGCTGGTCAAGGTGTTATAAGTCTACAATATGGTAGCAATAAAGGTGCCAATCAAAGTGGTATTAATTTCGGAAATACCAGACATATGTAAACCGTAGATTATAGAGCATGGAACAAATTCTTCCATGTGTGTGAGAAAAATGCACTATAATTTTATTTTATATTATATTATTTTATTTTTACTTCCATAAGTACTCAAGCTATAGACGTACTCTATCGCATTACTTTCTTCTTAAGCGGGCCAAATTCGATCTATGCATAAGATTTATATATATTTAAAATATATTTATGCATATTAAATAGAAATAAGCAAAGAAAAAAAAAAGAGAAAGAAAATAAATGGACTCAATTACGCGTACGTTGAATACCGAAATAATAATCGGTATGTTGTAAATTCTAATCTACCTGTCCTGTTTAACAATACAACATAATATAATACAAAAGCGAAACGAGACAAACAATCAAATGTTTTAAACAATTAACAATTACTGCACAAATATATATATATATATATTATATATAGCTCTCTTGACTAAACACAAATATAGAATATGTATTATATATATGAAAAAACCGAGAACAAAGGCATTTACAAATTTCTTATATTGGACAGTGTAGAGAAATAAATGTTATGTATTAGAAGTATATTATAATACAGGACCATTATTGCAACGTTACTCTGTTAATGTTACGTTCAAAACTCGTACGCGTTAAAGCGTAATCATATTATATTAAAAAGTTCATGTTTTCCACGTGAGATATTGATGATTATAATAATCATTATATATATACATATATAATGATATATGATATATAATTATATTAAGTATTTTGTACAAATATTTTTGATTATAAAAAAAAAAAAAATTTTTCATGATGTAACTAAAGTATCAGCAAAATAAATAATAAAGAAACAAAATTGATTTTTTTTTCTTGCATTGAATTTATGGATATATTTTAGTTTCTCATATCCTGATTTAATAACTAAAATTTAATAATTTGATTTTTTCAAACGTAGAGGGTCTATAATCTTTATTAATTGTGTATATTTCTTTTTAAATAATTGAAAGATTTTGATGACACTTTTCTGGAATCATTCAAGTACCAAAATCGTTAACTTTAATGATCGAAAGACTAGTTTTTTCAACAACGCGAAGCCGTTGACCAAACAAAGAGAAATCAATCATTTTATATATTGTTAAACTATATACATTAATATTATATACATACAGTATTATATATATAATATTATACGATAATATCTATAAATAGATAAAAATTATGAAATCTGAGTTGATTATGAAGGATAATACGTTAATTTGCGGCTAAATTGTTTTTTCTGATGTTTCCTTTTCTGTTTAGCACCAATCTTCATTAATTCTTGTACCTCTTTTCTAAAATATAATATTTATATTTACAGTATTAAATAATATAAATTATAGTACAAAAAGTTAAATTACTTTTTGACCTAAAATGAGAAAGATAATGAAATATTTACCTGTAAACAGGAGGTAATAACTCGTCGTGTAATGTACATTCAATTGACTCTGGGGTTTCTTGTTTATAAATTTTATTTCTAAGAATATCAATATCTCGATTATATTCATCGGTAAGACTTGTTAGCGTTGATGGAGGTGCGTCAAAATAATACAAGAAATGGCTAAAAAAAAGTAATGTAATTAATATTTATAATTATTTGTAATAGTTAAAAAAGGTTATGTATAGATACAATGTAGTTTGATATATAAATTATAAAACTTACGTCGCTTGTCTATATGTGCTTCCTCTAAAAGAAAGTTTGCAGGGTAAATCTTGGACACCTAAATTTTCTATTTTTCTGATAATTCCACCTCTGTCAAAGATTGCTGTTGCTACTCTTTTCAAAGCGTTGAATGTCTCCGGCTGTAATTTATTTTAATTTATTAATAAATATTATTTGTATTCAATATATTGAATTTAAAATAAAACTTTAATGATTAATAAATAAATGTATGAATTTAAATGTAAGACTGTTACAAAAATTTTGGAAATTTAAACATAAAAATATTTTAACCTATAATTCTACTCTCACATCTTATATAAAAGTAAATATTAAATGATGAACTAAAATATGTTACCTTATTCATTATGCGAATAAGTAAAGGCATCTCGTAAGTTGGCATGTTTAAATATTATTTATTTGTATATATATTTATTTATTTATTTAAAAAACTACCTCACTACAAGAACCCTATTTTAACTTTTAACGTCATGAACTATAAAAAGTACTAGAAGTTTAAACTGTCAATAAATAATTCAGAATATAATTCTTGTAATCTATATTTTTAATCAATTCAAATGAATTGAATTTTAATTATTTATTCGCTTTAAATAACAAATGGAATAAATAAAAAATATAATTTTTTAATAAAAAATATAAACCAATATATGATATTGAACTTTCTTACCGACAGAGATTATAGATAAAAAAAATTATTTTATTTGCACTCCTAACATATGATAGTTGAATAAATAAAATAAATTTTATCAAAACTGATATCATTAATATCTTAAATCAAATAAAATAATTTGTAACTAATAATTAATTATATTTTTGTTTTATATTCATTTGATTGCGTCATATTAGTATGACTAAAAAGAGAGAATTTTAATATATAAAATTATCAAGATAACTTCAAATTTGTACTTTAAACTTATAAGTTGAATTAGGAACACTCTTGAGTCATGCAATCTTTCCGTCCTATACATTTCATTGATCATTAACACTTTAGTATTCGTTCAGATGTAGAGACGTTTAGGTTAGAAATGTACAATTTTAAAATGTTTATGTCGAAAGTTGTTCGTCCAATTGTTAATAAAAATTCTGTCTTTTCTCGTTTATTAAAAGAAAGACGAAAATTGTATTCTTATTCTACACACAGAGTTACAAATAATCCAACAATTTCATTAAGTACTTTGCAGTATTCTAGTGATAGTCCTTCTAAATGTTGGAACTGTAATTTTTTATACAAATCTGAATTATTTTGTTCGCAATGCAAGACTCTTCAAGAAATGCCCGAGAATTTGAATTATTTTGATATTCTTGGTGTGAAACTCGACTACAATGTTAACAATGATGAAGTTCATGAAAAGTACAGACAATTACAAAAAATGTTGCATCCGGATAAGTTTGGTAACAGAATGGAGGTAACTATTTTCATTAATATATTTTTAATTTATTTTTGCCAATGAAAATTCTATTTAATAAAAATTAATCTATTAAATTTGTTTTATGTGTTGTTGTGTTGTTAGAGAGAACAGCGAATTTCAGAGTCGTTATCCTCTTTACTAAACAAAGCTTATAGTACACTAACAAATCCATTGAAAAGAGGCTTATATATGCTACAATTAAAAGGTATATCTATTCCTGAAGGAACCACTAGCGTAAATCCTGAATTTTTGATGGAAATAATGGAAAGGAACGAGGAAGTAGAATCAGCTTTGAACGATAAGGAAAAAGTTGTTCGATTGATGCAAGAAAACAAAATCATACTGAACAAACTATCTAAGTAATAATTATTTATCTTAATATTATAATTATAATTATAATTATACTTTATATTTTATTTTATTAATAAAATATTTATTTTTAGGAAAGTAGCTGATTCTTTTCGTAATAACAACTTGGAACAAGCAAAAGAAGTTTTGGTCAAAATGAAGTATTACGCAAATATCGAAAATAAATTAAAAATGCTTAAACAAGATTTAGGTATTGTAGATTAAATTAATTAAATTTACATGTGGAACATGTAATTTACGATATATGTATATATATACATACGTATATTTAGGAATTGCGATGTACAAATAGATTAATTTGTAAATGATGTATGAAATCAAATTCATTTAATTGAATTAACTGTGATCACTGTTACTTATATTTCTTGAATAATATATATATACAGTGTCGATAAATGAGTAGAAATTATGTGTTAAGTTATAAAATATAAATTTTATTTAACAACTATTTATTATCTATCGTCCATTGATCGATCCATTGACATATTCTATTAACATTATCAATAGCCTCATCCATAGTATTGCTTTGTAATTCATGAACTATTTCATTTTTATACGATGCTCTAGCTTCTTCTGTAATTATTTCAAATATTTCACTTTCTATGTTGTCTGATAATTTTTTCCCTCTGTATCCTCGTTCAAATAAACGATCATATAAAATTGTATTATTTGTTCTTAAAACGAAGACTATGTCGAACCACCTTTCTGGAAAGAAATCAACGCCGTGATAATCAACGATTTTTCCACCTTCACTCATAATGCTTTCCATATTATCGAGTAACTGTAAAAAGACATAAATAATATTATAATATTGTAATACAATTAATATAAATTATTAAATGTGTATAGATAAATTAAATAAATTATGAAAATAAACCTTATCTTCGTCCAAGACTGGACATTGATATACTTCATCGTATTCTTCCAAACAATTATATTTAATAGCTAATTTACTAACTTCTAACCAATCTAACCCTGTTTTTTCTGATAATAAACGGCACATTAAACTTTTACCAACACCTGGTGTACCTAAAACAGAATAACAGAGTTATTAAATATTTTTAATAATAATAATTAAATAATTAGGGTAGTGTAAACACGTGTTTCTGAACTGAACTTCGAATAAAAATTAAATAATCATTGAAACACATATAATAAATTAATAATGATTACCTGACACCAAAATGTTTGGCAATTTTCTGTTAGTTCTATTCATTTTAAGAAGATTTATTTATAGACGATCCATCTAATGTAATAGAAATCAACGAAAACATTTATTTAGCAACATTAAACTATTTATTCCTAGTTGTTTTGCTATATATTTCTATTGTAGGTTAGCTTACGATTTAGTGGCGCTATATGCACCCGATGCGACAGCAGCGCCACACAATTAATGCATTTCGCAGTCAAAGGGTTAATATAAAAAGTAGATAATACAGCATATCATGAAAACTGAATTACCGATAGTGCAAAATGAATATCGATGTTGATTAATATTTTAAATGAAACGATAAAAATGACGATCTTTATTTATGATGCTTTGAGTAATAAAACACATTCATAATTAATGACTCATGCAAGATGAAGTAATTTAGTTGCATCAATATAAACAAATTGTTATAAATCTAAAATATTCTATATTTATATGTACATTTAAATTTACCGGGTAATAATGGCGGATACAAAATTGCATTATACGATTAACTCACATCAGCCAACAATGTCAGTGGATCAACTTACAATTACTCATCGATATGGACATCTAGGAATATTACAAACGTGGTTTTCATAGATCAAAACAAATTGTTGATTTGCTTAACAGACTAGAGTAATAACTAGTTGCAAGTTAATAATATTTACTGTGAAACGTATTCAAAGAACTGTCAGTATGTCTTCCCTTCAAAAATCAGTATTAAAATCTAAATTGCCGCCGCCAGGTATCAATTTTGGTCATGGATCTAGGTTAGTATCAATAATCAACATATCATTTTTTTTCTTCAATATATTACCTTGAAAAATCAATTTTTATTTTGCTTGTTTTTCGTGTTTTATATTTATTTTAGGATAAATAGGACTAGAGGTTTTCAACGCAAAAGAGATTATGATCCTGTACAATGGACTCCATACTTTGATCATTCCACTGATATCAAAATAGGAGAAAATACTTTTCATATTTATACTAAAGGAACGCAAGGACCAACGTTGGTTTTATTACACGGTGGTGGTTATAGTGCTTTAACGTGGGCAGAATTTACAGTAAGTATTTATAATTCAATTTATGAAATGTAGCACAATTTGCTATTTTATATATTTTAGAAATCTATTATGACGATGGTAATCTGTAAAGTAATGGCGATTGATCTTAGAGGTCACGGAGATACGCATACAACTAATGAAGAAGATTTGTCCGCAGATACTTTAGCTTTGTATGTTGAATATTTGAAATCTATTATCTTATATGTAAACTTAGTAAATATTAAAATACTAGCATAGTTATTTATTTTATTTCAATTATTTATTTAATTTTTTTTTTTAGGGATGTAGCAGCAGTTATAGAAGTGGCTATAGAAGAAGGACCAGTAATTATAGTCGGTCATAGCATGGGAGGTGCGGTGGCTGTTAAAGCTGCATCATTATTAGCCAATTTAGCTGGTTTAGGTGTGATTGATGTTGTCGAAGGAACAGCTATGGATGCTTTAGCATCTATGCAAAGTTTCTTAAGATCTCGGCCATCTAGTTTTAGTACTATTCCTCAAGCTATAGAATGGTGGTACGCATATAAACTCTCTAACTTTTATACTTAACAAGATCCGTTTTGTGTATTTTCATTCATTATGCATATTCACTTTTAACATTATCTTTTAGTGTACGAAGCGGACAAATTCGAAATGTACAATCGGCTAAAGTTTCAGTACCTGGACAAATAAAGAAGTTAGTGAGTTTCTTAAAATTTTTGTATAATTACATTAAACATACTTGTACAAAGTTATGCTACGAACTTAAGGAGTAATGTATTTATTTAATTGTTTTATTTTTTTTAGTATTGAAACCAATCAGTTAGCGACTCACGATATTGATTCCCTTTCACAAACATCTTCATGTGAATATGATCCTGAACCAGTGATTCAACGCGAAGATGTTATAGAAGAGGAAGATTCCATTACTATGCCACCACCTACATCTTCTTTCGTACATACCAATAAGAAGTATGTATGGAGAATAGATTTAGCCAAAACTGAACAACACTGGTTTGGATGGTTTAAAGGATTATCGGCGTCGTTTTTAAATATACCAATCCCTAAAGTATTATTATTAGCGGGAGTAGATAGACTTGACAAAGAACTTACAGTTGGTCAAATGCAAGGTATCAATTAACATCTTATTGCATTAATATTTAATTTTCTATTTTTATTTAATATATATATATATATTAATGCTTTATCATAATTAGGAAAGTTTCAAATGCAAGTTTTACCGGCATGTGGACATGCTGTTCATGAAGACGTACCAGACAAAGTAGCAGAAGCTATTGCAACATTTATGGTTAGACACAAATTTGCAGAACCTGCTTCAGACTTTCCACGGTAAATGTTTTTTTTGTATAATATAATAAATTCAATTAATATCATCAATTTTTTAATATATAATCTTTATGTATTATTTTCAGAACTTTCCCTGCTTGCTAAATTAATTAATAATTATTAAATATATTGAATTAGATATAAATTAAAGAAAATAATATAATTTGGAAAGCATTGAATGAATTAATTTATAGCCATTGGATAGCTAATTTATTGAAAGAATATGTTCGTAAAAATAAAAGAGAAAAAAAGAAAGAGTGTAAATAAATGTATTACATCATTGGCGGAAATATAAATTTGTTTCTTATATATATATTTATATTTATAGCCTATATATTTTATAGTACAATGGGTGATCGGTTAATGAATAGTTTGGACTGCAAACTAATTGAACAACGAACACTTTCGCAAAATATTTGTATGTTCGGACAACAAATACATGTTCGAATAATGAATGCCTCATAGAACGAATAAAAGAAGAAGTGACACTGTGTGTAAGATTTGTAGAACTGTACAGTGGGTGATAAATTAATGAATATCATTTATGAATGGATTATGTTTGTCAACAGATCATCCTCTGTATATTCATTAATATTAAATATTATTGGCAGATATGTTAATGTCTAGAAAGATTAATTCTCTAACTCTATTCATAAAAGAGAGTTATTTATAATTAATTTTTTTGTAATTAATTCTGTGAATTGTTTTTGTATGTAAAATATAAATTGAAAATTATTTAAAATATATATATATTTCATTTTATATATAGAATTCTTATTCAGATAAAAAATAAATTTTGAATTGTTTGTTATAGTTTAAAAATTTATCTAAATATTTTTACAAGTTATCGTAAAATAAAATAATAGAAAAAATTTATCATAACATTTACTTACATATATAGATCAATTATATGTTTCTTATATTCTTTTAAATATTATGAAACATATTAAATATATTAAATTACTGAATATATATGTACACTTTATAGATGATAAAATAGATTCTAATACATGGAAGTTTTTTAGAATTACTGTAGGAATGTTATTTGCTCGTAGTCGAGAATTTGGTGAGCATTTATGACATGTAATTATACATCTTATAGGGAATTTTCTATAACAACGCAAGGACCTCCACGTCCAGTAGGCAAAGGTGTAACCTTATGGCATAACATCAAATTATTAATCATTTACTTTAATCATTCACAAACTAACAAATATTTTAAATGCACACTTACTGGTTCCCATTTATTAAGATGTGGATCATATGCTTCAACCAATGTCAAGTATTGTTGACCATCATATCCACCTACAGCCATAAGTTTATCTCCAAGGACACAAACACCAACTGCATCTCTTGCTACGCTCATTGGTGCTACCATTGTCCATGTGTCAGTTTTGGGATCATATCTATGGAATAATGTATCTTTTATTTCAGAAAATTATGTGTATATTACGATGAAAGATCATCAAACTACATGTATATATTCTGCTACCTTTCTACACAATCAAATCTACTAGCATTAGGATTGCTCGCTGGTGCCTCATGGCCACCAAGAGCATAAAGACATCCATTCACTACACCTACTCCTACACCACCTCTTTGTTTCGACATTGGAGCACAAGCGGTCCATTTGTTCGTATGAGGATCATAACATTCGACTGTATTTAAGCAGGAACTAATATCCCTACCACCTACAGCATATAATCTAAAAAAAAAAAAAAAACCAATAAAAATAAAAATAATGTAGTAATCAAAACGTACTGATGATTATATCTATTATAAAGATCATTTCTTCTATAATAATGAAATTTTATTCATTTAACGCTACTTGTCATTTAATGCGGCTACACCAACTGTTGAACGTTGTATAGACATAGGTGCTATAATATGCCATTGTTTTGTATGCGGATCCCATCTTTCAACTGTATCAAGAAAACTCCAACCATCATGACCACCAACCGCATATAATGGTCCACCCAAGACTGCAACTCCTACATCACAGGATGTTATTACAGATAATTCGTCGATAATATACCTTTACATATCTATAATGTAATTAATTATACCTAATCCATGTCTATGAAAATTCATAGGTGGTAAAGTATACCAAACATGAGGAAAAAAATCAAGACATTCAACAGTGTTTAAAGTTTTCAAACCGTCTCTACCGCCGGCTATAATTAATTTCCTATCAACAACAGCAGCACCAAATTGGAGACGTTTACCCCACATTGTGGCTACAGAGTTCCATGAATTTTCTCGCAATGAAAACGAGTATATCGACAATGTTGATCCTATGGTAAAAAATATTTAAAGTTTATCTGAGTTATTTATAAATAATTGTTAATTATTACCTTCGTTGGCATCCATTCCTCCGACTGCTAATAAGTGGCCAACAGTTGCTTTTCTAGGTTTTGTACGATTAGATTGTAGTAGTGGTCTACGTTCAGGTAAAAGATGATACTTTAATGCTTCTATTATAAGTTCTTGCGCAGCTTTTTGATCTTTAAAGATTTCATTACTTTCTATATGATCTGCTATAAACTATTATTTCATAAGTACCAATTAATTCTTATTTTAAAAATATAATAATATTTGCAACAGAGAATAAGTTTTAACTTACTGCTGGCGATAATAAAGGCAATTTAACTAAACTTAACAATTTACTGGCATCTTTTTTTCTGTTAGGTAAATCGTATTTAAGCCAAGCCATAAGAGCCTGAAAAACAATGTTAAAATAAAAAAACAGTAAACTACAAATAATATAATGATACTATTATCTTACGTGAAAAATAGAGTCTTCGGAAGGAACATTGAGATCATTGGACTCTAATAATTCAGCTACTTGATCAGCAGAACATAGTAAAAATTCTTGATTTTTAATAACTTCCATGAAATATTCTGTTGTATATGCGTGCGCCTCTTTAAGTAAATCCAAACAACCGTGCATATCAGCGAACATGCGTATCCCTAAACAATTACTCGAATGAAGTTGTTTTCTTAAAAATTTACAACATGCTTTGACAACTGGATGGAGTTGCAACAAATGCGCCGTTGCTAAGAGAGTTTGTACGCTGTCTTCTTTAAGTTCTATGCATCCTAAAATAAAAAGAATTAAAGAACGAGTTAGAATTAGAGACAATAATAAAATTATATTTGAAATTGTATATAATCCTACCGGTGTAACAATAACGAACCAATGATGATAAAGCATCTCCATCGACATCGACTAATTCAATTTCATTTTCCTTGGATTCTTTTAAAAAACCAGTAAACATAGCAGCAAAATATTCAGAGCCTGCGCTGAGTACCAGACGGTGTGCTGGAATACGCTTATTGCCTGTACAATTAAACTCAATGAAAATTAATCATTTAATAAAAAAAATAAAAAGATCAATCTAACAAAAGAAAATGCAATACCTGCGATTAATATTACATCCGTTAATTGTTGTTTATCCAAATATTCCTCCATTATACGTAAACTAGATTCTGCATGTTTAGATACTATTTTAACAATACTCGAAATACTTTGCTCACTCGGAGAATGTTCCTTGTTTCCAAACGAAAATTTCGTTCCTGTTTCGTTTATATGACATATCATCGATCCAAAATTTTTCGACATTTTTAATCAACAAATTCTATTCGTCGATTGTTCTCCTCTTGGATAAAATCTTTTTTTATTTATTGATATAAATGAACACTTTTTTTTTTCGTTATAAAATACAAATTTAATTCTGTTCAATGAATCAACATCGTAAAAATTAATACTATCATATTATTATAAAATATAAAGGACGATCATCCTACCGGCGGTAGTCCTTTATGATAGCGAAACCTGCTAACTTACGTTACTGGACGAAAAGAAATTTAGGGTTTTCGAAAATACAGTTCTTTTTAGTAAGTAAGTAAAATCTTCGGTGAAAAACGCGATGATGAAACGGGCGAATGGAGAAAACTTCATAACGTAAAAGTACACTGACTGTACAACAAATCGGACATCATTAACGTAGTAAAATCACTCCGATTAGATTACATGGGAGGACAATATTCTTAAGGAAATAGGTTACGAAGACCGCGAATGGAGGAATCGCGCTCCGGGACGGGAACACTGGCAGGATTTAGTATTTGCGGCAATGAACTTTCGAGTTCCTAACGCTAATTAATAATAATCATATTACTATACAACATTCAATACTGACGTGTTTGTTTTGACAGTTGTATTTGTGTTAAAACACTCGATTATTTTGGATTGTGGTCAATGACCACTGGTCATTGATTAAACTCTTTCATTCTTTTATGGCGTAATAATAATCGTAACTAATTCATCAAATGAATTTAGTAAAAGTTAATTTACTATGGAAAATAAATAAGATGAACATGATATTTTACCATCATGGAAATCATTAGAGTAATTGTAAGAACAATTTTGTTCAAAATTTACTATAATATATGATAGAAAAGACAGTTAGCAATTTTCAAGTATGGTCGGTAAAATCAAAGAATACGAAGTATGTAGAAGCATACAAGTTCACTTGTATCTTAACAAAATTCATCTTAGTTACTACCGTGACCACTAGTGGGCGATAATAGGTATTTAATGCTCAAACGGTACAACTATCAAAGAATACTGTATTCTTTAATTGTTGTATCATCATCGCGTTAAGTACCTACTATCACCCACTGGTGGTTACGGTAGCAATTAAGATGAATTTGTTGAAGAAGTTTGTGAGCTTCTATGTACTTCTGTATTCTTTGGTAAAATCACAGAGTTAGATAATAAAGAAAACGATACATCACATTTATGTTTACAAATACGCAATGCTTAATGGTTTTCTGTGACGTCACTTTGATCGAGGTGATCACCATGCCACCCTAATGGCAGAAATAAGTATTGGTTTTGTTATTTTTTTGGGGGACACAATTTATGACAAATTGCCTATAGCGATCATTCTCCTTATTATCTAACTCCGTAGGTAAAATATTAAAACATTTCGCACTCTAATGGTGCCATTATGGTGACATGTGTAATTATATTTGAAATTTGTAAATATCATATCATATTATAGGTTTGTAAATATAAAATTTAATTATATAAAAAAAGAAAATTTTGGAATATTATAAAATTCATTAAAATAGTAATTACATTATATTTAATGTATAATCATTTCTTTAAAAATATTATAGAAATTTTATTATTAAAAAATATTTTGGTCTGCAGTCAATATTTTACAAAAAAATAAAGATCAATGTATGTTTTATTTTGTGTGCATATGAAATATTTTTCTTGTTATTTTTATAGATATTTAATTTAACGTTTTCGAATATATTTTTGATTCTTTTGATTCATTTAAACAAATCGTGCATTTATACAGAAATTAATATTTAATTTGAAGAGTATAATTAGTATATAAATAAATTCGGGTGAGTTGAAATAAGTCATAAAAAGAAATTGTATATATATTTTATTTCAATGTAAATATATAAATATATTTCTTTGGATTGTTAAGTTTCGGTTGGAATAGTAATATACAATTTTTTATATCTATAAATCATCTAGTCGCTGCATTTTTATGAAATATACAGCTTGAATACTTTCACATACGGATTATTAATTGCACATATAATAATAATAATAATTCTTTTCGTTTATATCCATTTTAATAACTATTCTAATATTGTTTTTTTTTTTTGTTAAATTGATGCAACGTTAAAGTGTTTGTTTGTTATTATTAATAATAATTGTGTTTAACACAGTATTAAGTGCCAATAAAATGGTACATTTGTTTAATACACTATTATTCAATTATTTCTATTTCAAATTTGATTTATATTCTATTGTATGCAGATTGAAATTCGATAATTTGAAAGCAATGAAAATTCAGGATCCATTTGAACAAATTATTTAATGCAATGTAAAATATTATATAAGATAAAGCTGCCTTATTTTGCTGTATTTAAATCACATAAATTTGTTTCATGCATTCATCGTGTTCGTGAATCGAACATTTTTTTAAAATAGGATAGTTTATTCGTTCATTTTTAATTAATATATTATTATTATTATTATTGTCATTTTAAATATCATTGATTTTAATACTTTGAATGATCCTATTCGATCGAAATTGATGGTAATTAAATTCAAGTAATAAAAAGTATATTACTTGAATTAATAATCTCATTGTTTAAAATAAACATAATATTTATAAACGACTTCAATTGAAAATTATTGTGGCAGTTAGTCACAGCAATAAAAAAATACAATATTATAGTTAAAACGTTTCTTCTTCTAGTTTAAATATCATCATCATTGTCATCATAAAAATATGGCATAATTTTTTGCGAAAGAGAATAATCTTTCTAACTACGCAACTACATTGTCTACGAGATAAAATCCTTTTAATTATTTTCTTGTGATATCTAAACATATTTAATGAATTATTCAAATAATCAGTTAAAAAATGAAAAAAAAAAAACAACAGAAAAAATAAAAAAAAAAAATAAAAGAGAAGAAAAATATAATTTTATTAAAAGTAAAACGTTCTAATACTTTCTATTACTCTGTTATGGTAATCAAAGAATCATAATAATACATAACATTAGCACCATCGGATAAAACTTTGATAATCTTGCATTGACGATAAATGCACAGAAACTTATACATTTTTTTTTTCTATCTAAAAGACAAATTAATTAACTAAATTAATAACATTATTAAAAAAAGAAAAAAAAAACCGAATTTTTTCTAAACCTTAATAATAATCATTCACGTAACAGTGGAACCATAATTTGTGCTTGGAAAATAATTCCTTAACGAACTATACACAGATAGCTCCTCCTTCTCCTCTTTCTCCTCTTTCTCCACAGGTTTGTTCGTTTTTAATCGAAAAATCTGTGCTCGATCCTGAGAAAGAACCATAAGAGGGTCTTTTCCGACAACAACAAAACCTATCGATAAGCTCCGTAATATCACTTTTATCGCATCCGTCTCTGAATAGGCCGCTTGATGCTTCATCTGTGCAAGCTGATATAAAAGTTTGCACATCATTTTTGGGGAAGCCATCTCTATAATAAATTTTAATCGTATCATAAGCGTCCATTATCACAGAAATAAATAAACTTAATACGACGTAAATGTACAAAGAAATGAAGGTATATAAATAAATTCTCGAGTACCACCATAGCATTGGGGATTTGAACGACGTTATCGTAAATGTTGCGAACATGTCGTCACCATTTATAAGCGCAAACAGACATTCAGAAGTAGTTGCGAGCGATCGAAATTTCATATGATACGGACCTAATATTAACCAGCCACAAAAAGTGAAACCGGCATATATCAATATGGCGCATATTAAAAACCTAGCTACTTTTGGAGCGGCCTTTTTTAATGTCAATATAACAACATTGTATGTTTTGAAAAAACCGAGATATCTTAATACGCCAAACCATACCAATAAATTACCTGTACCTAAAAATATACTACATACGTTCCAATGATCGCTACCAAAATATTTTCTCTCAATTTGTTCTTTTATGGCGGAACCGATGATGATGAGGAGATCATTTATAATTATCATTATGTACCAAAGATTCAAAAATTCTAATTTACCCTCTAAACTCAATTCTTTACCGTAAATCTTTTTGAAGAAATTCATCGTATCAAATTTAAGCAATTGTGCTCTGTAAATGGCTCTCGAGCACAGGACCAGTGATACACTACATATAAATATGACGAGTAAATTTAATAATGTTCTCAATGCAGACTCGATTTGATTGTCCATTATATAACGGGTGTCACCCTTGCAATATAATCTTCGTGGCTCGGCATCTAAGGATAATAACATTTGTCCGTCTAAATCGCGATTATCGAATATAATTTGAATATTGAACTGATAACAATCTGGTGGTGTCATCGGACCGGCAGCTTTGAGATTAACAGTTTTAACTGCAAATTTTAAATATGCCATTACTAGAGCTGAGAAATTCACATCTACGTTTTGTGTAGATAATAAATTTTTCGACTTATTGAATTTGTCATGAAACTCTTTAGTTATGTTCACGCAAGTTTTTATGATTTCCTTATCGAAGACATAACTTTCATTGAAGCCGAATATAATGCTTTCTTTATAATGATGCAAACATAATTCCACGGTTCCTGGCATATTATTTTCGGTGTTGTACGAGTATGAACCAATGGAATTACTAAGATTATAATAACCAGCTAATGCATAATCAATGGTACTGAAAAATGCATCCTTTTTGTAGAGAGCTAATGGGCCAGTTGCTGGAGGATAAGCAGGTACCTATAAATATTAATAAAATAATCAACATGATTGAGAAATGTTCTAACAATTAGAACATTCAAAAATCTAATTTTACAAATAATTATTTAAATTTCACGAAGTTGTTTATATTATTGTTAAATTAAATTTCATATTTCGTATTTTATTTTTCAAACGTTAATAGTCAGCAATTTTTGTTCCCTCGAAGTATTATCATTTTTAAATATTTATATTAATGTATTTTTTACCTCAAGCGTGGCATCCCATCCACGTAGAAAGAGATGAGAAAATGTAATACGATTGTCCCAGGTATAATTGACGTGCATATAATTGTTATGTGCAAATAGGCATAGTTGAACAGTGACCAATACGATTTTGAAGACCTGCACAATGAATTTGTATGGAAATCTTCGTTTGGCTTGCCATTTTTCAATCGGATTCATGAAAAAGAATTTAAGTTGCCTCCTCATTTTATCCTCGGCGATGGTAGTCAAGGTACAATTATCATCTCTTTCTGCGATTGGTCGATTGCAGCTTCACAAATAATTCAATTTGAGTGGTCATTATATATCGTTGCAATTTTTTATCAAAATAATAATTATTCAAAATATTAATTAAAAATACTGTTTATTCATTGTCCTTATATAGACAGTTTTAGCCTTCGCACTTGAAATATTTCAGATGATAAATTCTTATCGGTAATAACGTTTGGTCGTTCTCTTTTTAATATAAAACTATCTCTCTCTTTCTCTCTCCCTCTCTTTATATCTCTTTCTATAATTTACACGAGTTTTATTTGCTCTTAAACGTATAATTGGAACTAACAGAACAATCTTATCTTTTGCACGTTACTGAATACTGAATATGATCTAAATCCAAAAAATGGCGTTCCTTTTCTTTTTTAAACGATATGATATCTATATTTATCCATTATACTACTTGTCTATTATATTTTGCTTACGTAAAAGTTTATTTTTTAGTTTCAAATGGTAATATAAAATTCAAAGATTTTTTTTCTTTTTTTCTTTACTTTTCTTTCGTTATAATTTATTATAAATCTCTTTTTTCCGATAAAATTTATTACTCAATTACTTTAATTATTTAAATCGAATAAAATGATAGGATGAATTGTATTTGTAATAAAAAAAAAAAAAAATACAATATTACACACGAAATTTCGTTAATAATAATGAAAGATTTATTTGATGTTAATTTTAAATTATAACTTGCACGACTTGATATTTCTTGCCCTATACATAATAAATTTATGTGTATCTATATAGAGTATGTGAAAATTTGCAGAAACATTTCGTACGAAATAATGTTGACCTAATTTTATCTTTCCTGTCGATTATAATTTTTCTCTACGTTAAATTATCTCATCTATTCTTTTTTTTATTTTTATATCAATTTCAAATATATCTCATTTTTCGCGCGCTTTTTTATCAATGCACTTCGTGTTACGTCAACACTGATAATATTAGTTTTAGATTGCATGAATTTGCGACAGAGAGATTAGTTATTACCTTAGAATGTTGAAGTATATTTTTATCATATTGTTTCTTTTTTTTTTAATATTAAAAATATCGTATCTTGCGATTATGACAATTGTAATAAATTGTAATTCGTTGTCACGCGTGATTGCAAATATATAATATCAATTTATAGAAATTGATTATTAGAGAGAAGGTTTTAAGACGTATCTCTCTTTCTCTCTCTCTCTCTCTCTCTCTCTTTTTTTTTTTTACTCTCTCTTCCTCTTTCTCTTTTTAATCATGTGACGTAAATTATACAATGCTACGCAATATCTACTTATTGTATAACGAAAGAAAAAAATAAAGAATAAAGAAAAATATAAAATAAAGATGTTCACGATAACGAGGAAAAATATAAAAATATAAAATAATTATCAATTATCAATAATTGGGATTGGGGAAAATAATATGAACTTACCAACAACACACCTTCATGATTATGCACGTGCAACTTTCTTCACACTTTCATCGATTCAATGAATTGTCTACATTTGAGAAATTCTTTAGTTCGAACAAAGAGAGATTTTTATATTTTAATTATTATATTATTATTATTATTATTATTTGTTTTATTGTTTAGCCTATTTTTTTTTTTTTGTTAGATAAGAGTATACTCGCGAAGAATACGAGTGAGACTGTTTTAAAATCGAAATGCATTAAGAAATATAAATGTGGGGGAGAGAAGAAACTGTATAGAAGCAGAACTAGAAACACAGAACTACAAAGAGAGAGAGAGAGAGAAGAGAGAGAGAGAGAGAAGAGAGAGAGAAAGATGCACGATAAATGAAAGACAGAGAGATAGAAAGATATTATAGGTATATCTCGATTCTCGGCAACGATTCAACGCGAACTGATCGAAGAACGATTTATCGATCTCGCATGTATGTTTCGGAAAACTTGTACGATATTTCGAACAAGAGTGCGCTGCTTTATTATTTGTGACAAAGGATCGAAATCAAATCAAAGGTCGACGTATCTCCCTTACTTGTTTGCTTTCAAATGAGAACAGCGAATGAATGAGTTGGTGGGCGGGTGAAAAAAAAGTGGGAGATATATATATATATATATATATATAATATGTATGCGATAATGAAAAAAAAAATATAACAAAAGAATATAAAAACAACATGTATATATATATATTTGCGACAAAGTATCGATATCAAATTAAAGATCGATGTATATTTCTTGCTTTTAAATGAAATCAACCAATTGACATATTGATGATAAAAATAAGAAAATAAATAATAGAAAAATAAAGATAAACAATTATACATATAATTTACACAATTATAAATATTTTTATATTCAAGAATACATATTTATTTAATTGTTTATTAATTTGAAATAATATAATAAAATACTGACCTCGAGGTAACGCGAAGTGGTCCATTTTCATTGATATTGTCCTCTTCTTCGCTATCTAACTCTTGACTCCAAGAAGAATAATTTTTAAGAATATTATTACCAGTAACATTGTTAGAATCATTCTCTTGAATCTTGTTTCGTTGTTTTGTCATGTTTTCCTCCATTAGTTAATAATCTTCACTTGGTAATTATAATAAATTTTTGTAAATAATTTATTGGAATTTATATTGTTGTTTTAATTCTTTTTGTTTATATTAGAGTTATATATGCACTACGTGTTGTAATGTAATGTGGTTGACGTTGTTATTTCAACCAGCTGAGTTAGCGTCCAATTCATCGGTGGACGATGAAAGTGTAAGCAGCTCGCATGCGTCGTTCTGCGTAGTAATACGGTACATAATCATTGGATGATAACCTAGTATCTCGATTCTTTTTTTTTTTTGTTCACTTTATTTTCTAATAATGATTAGATTTTAACCCTCCTTTTTAGATTAATTTAATATATTTTGGAGGTTAATAACAGTTTCTACTTCAACGATACGTTACACAACATAAACAACCTTGCATATCCTAGTTGCAGTTGCAGGTTCGACTGATTGGGACGCCCCTCTACGATCGTTACTGTAAGCATGTTGAATCACGTGATTCCCTCTCGCGTCCCGTTCGACAGTCTTCGTACGGCGTCGGCTGTACTCGTCAATATAATGCTTGGTACTATTTAGCGCGTTTTATTTGAACGAAATTTTCGTAGCGTAATTGTAGTTTATTGACACGTTTTCGATATATTAACGTATCTAATCATGGAAATTGAGGTATATTTGATGCCAATTGATTTATGATGAATAAAAGTTTGACCCATATTGGATAGAAAGAAGATATTATTCCGTATATATTTTAGTTTCTGTATGTGCGTGCTCTTGTGTATTTTTTCAAAGTATACTCTTGTAAATTAAAAAATTTCTTCATTTTTATTCACGATTAAGAATGCTAGTAGGCAATTACCCGAACGCGCGATAAGTTAACGATAGACCGAGCATAACAGGTTGGTATAAAAAGTGAAATTATTATTTTCATTAGTATCACGAATACTTGCGGAATTACTAACGAGATGTTACGTGAGTTTGCGAAAAGGTTTCCGCATGAAATTATTCTTAAGCTTAATTATAAATTATTCTAATTAGATCTCTTACTTTAACTTACACGGAATGACTTTCAATCATGTCAAAAGATATAATCTAGTTTTTTAAATAAGCATAAAAGATCCGGCTCTTATTATGACTTTTTTTTTCTTTTTAAATACATGAAACTTTTTTAATTGTTTCCTTTTGATCATGATATTTGTTTTTTTTTTTTCATGAAAGATAACAGAAAAAAATACAACGCATGTTGATGTGATGATCGAATAACGAAGAACGGACGTGTGCGCGCGTTTCACCACCTCTTCGTCTTTGGTATCTGCGCCCTTGGTAAAACGCTCATAGCGCCAGCGTCGTCGTCCATTCGTCGTCAGATATTGTGCACAAGATACATACGTGCTGTTTGTGAGTCCTGTCGCGCGCGCGAAGTGTCCGTGCGAGGTTACTGGAGTTTCCTTCCGAGAATTTTAAGCACAGTCCTCTTTTCACTTTGCTCGGGTCAACTTCGAGGAATAAATTTCTTCCAGGGGAAATCGAGACCGATTATATATTGTCTAATTATTTCAAAAAATAGTGCGAATAAGAAAAAAATAAAGAGAATAAAAAAGAGAGAAAGAGAATAAGAGAGAGAAAGAGAGAGAGAGAGAGAGAGAGAGAGAGAGCGAGAGAGAGAGAAAGATCAAAGAAAAGAGGATATTTTAAAATTCATTTCTCTAAATCTCAATTCTTAGATCCGTGTTACTCATAATAATCAGTGATCTGATCGGAAATATTATTATTATCATCTCTCATTTTGGTTTCTTGAAAGTCGTGTTAAATTACGACGAGACGACGACGACGAGGAGAAGGAGAAATAGTAGCCCAGTCTAAGCGCGTGTTACAATACTGAGTCGAGTTTAACGTGGAAAGCATGGTGGATCAACAGGAGGAGACACAGAAGATAGTGGATCTTAACGTGGGTGGTGTCAGTTATACGACCACCCTGGAGACCCTAACAAAAGATAGTACTAGCCGTTTGGGTTTACTATTTATTCAAAATTCTCCTATTCCAAAGGATTCATCTGGTAAATATTTTTTCGATCGCGACGGTAATCTATTTCGTTATATCCTCGATTATCTTCGCGATGAGATTATCGTATTACCGGAAGGATTGAAAGAATGTGAGAGATTGAGAAATGAAGCGGATTATTATGGTTTAGCTAATTTGATACAGATCATTGATGAAAAGATCGAAGACGTTGCAGGATCATCGACCTGCAGGAAACGAACACCTGGATGCATAACTATTGGCTATCGAGGAAGTTTTGCATTTGGTCGGGAAGGTCTAACCGAAGTTAACTTCCGTAAAATATCAAGGATTCTCGTGTGCGGTCGCGTGGCATTATGCAGAGATGTCTTCGGGGAGACATTGAATGAAAGCCGTGATCCTAATCATGGTTTGTCGGATCGCTATACTTCCAGATTTTTCTTGAAGCATAATTTTATCGAACAGGCCTTTGACATGCTTCAAGAGCAAGGCTTTAAGTTAGCTGGTAGCTGCGGTTCTAGCACGGCTGGTGGCAATTTTGAATTGTACAAAGCAGGGGTTGATTTTGAGGAGACACGTTGGAATCATTACAACGAATTCGTCTTCATACGCGATTAAATAAATCGCGATTAATTTATGATGCTCGCAGGGTAACAGTACTCGATCGAATTTTTCAACTTCATTCGATTACGATGAGGAAATAAAGTAAGAAATAAAGAATGAAAGAAAATAAGGAAGGAAGGAAGGAAGGATGGAATGCCGATGTTACTTTTCGAAAGAACGATGACGTCGTGTCAGCCAACCTCTGGGACGTTCAACCTCGATCAAACGACGTGATAATATCGATTCTTATTCTTCATCTTATTCTTATTCCTCTACTTCTACATCTTCTACTTCTACTTCTACTTCTTCTTCTTCTTTTTCTTCTCGCGAAGACTTCCTCCATAAACTTCTTCATCATTGACGATCGTTCATTGAAGGAGATTTTTCCAGGCTGCACAGAATAGAAAGTATGCACACTCCTGGGACGGATATAGTTACTGATTGATGAACTCCAAGATGGATGGATTCTTGCCGAGAAGATCGTACGGAACTACCGGTAGAGATTATTTTGTCCTAAGTACATACACAGTAATTACCAGAGAGTACAAGAGATTAAATATATAATAATAACAAAAAAGAAAAGAAAAGAAAAGAAAAACCAAAAAAATTAAAAAAAAAAAAATAAAAAACAAGAGAAATAAATACATAAAAATAAAAAAGAATATAATAATAATAATAATAATAATAATAATAATAATAATAGTAATAATAATAATAATAGTACTTAAAATAAGATCAAAGCTCGACGATGAAGAGAGTAGAAATGATGTCATTTCTTATCAATATTCGTTGTTTACTCTCTTTGGAATCTTTGAAAAATAATAAAATAAGAAAATGCATTTAAAATATATACAAATTAAAATACATACATACATACATATATACACATACATACTTATATACACGTGCATACATAAATATACATACGTAGGTGGTAATAATGCTCTTTTTTTTCGTGAAAATCAAAATAAATAAAATAAATTCGTAGAGTCATGAATGTTCTCTATTGATTTTATTAAGAAACGAATTTACGATCGTTGAACGAAGAATTTTTATTTCGATTCTATTAGAAGACAATGCAACGTCGATGCAATCCAATAGGATATTTTTTAGGATTTTTCACTTACGTTCTACTGATTGATACAATGGGATTCGATTAATGATCGAGAAACTGTCCTAAAACGAAAAAAGGATAAAAGATATTTTTTAGTTGTTAATTTTACCCTTTGGTCATTTACTTTTTTTGGCACGATGATAATTATTCAATTCAATCGTGTGATTGGAAGAAAAAACGAATGGAAGGGGAGTAAGATAAAGGAGATTCTATTTCTTTGTTCTTCTTTTTTTTATTATGTGGGGTGTAAATGGAATTGGGAAAGAGGATAGACAAATTTCTTTTACGAGAAACTATGTGTTTTCATCTTATTTTTTTCATTTCGAGACAAAGAAAATGGAAAAATAAAAATATTAATTAATAGAATCTCAAGATGATGATTTATTATTAAATTTAATATACACACGTAGAATAATTTTTTAAATTAAAATACACAAGATCGTGTATTATATCGAAGAATATTTGAATTAATTTTTATATTAATTTTTTATTATTTTGAGACGTAAAAAAATACAAATATAAAATAATATTAGAAAATGACGCTTTAGTAGATTTTCAATAAATGCGCCTACATATTTTTCGTCTGCTTATATAATAATATAGAATTTATTTATTATTTTTCGTCTTTAGAGGATTAAACATTAGATTTACAAAAGAAAAATATACAAATAATAAACACACGTAGAGAGAAATGAAATTTTTCAAATATTCAATTCTAAGAAAAGAAGAAAGTTTAAAGCTAAAGAAAGAAAAAAAGAAAGCAAGTAAAAATTGCTATTAGAAAGATCGTGTAAACGATTATATTATTTTATAAATATATATATATTATATAATAAATAAATATTCGTCATATGACATCTTCGATATTAAAAGAAATAAAAAATAAGAAAAAAGAAAAAAAAAAAACAAACAGAAATCTGGAGAAAACAAAAGACTCGAACTTTGTTCCTCACAGTAGGCGAAATTGAAACAACGAAATAAAAAAAGTTAGCCGATCTCGCTACTACCTGTAAAATCCTTTCTCTGAAAGATTATTAGACATTTTCAAAATAAATAATAATAATAATAATGAAGTTGCAAAATTATTCTTATCTATATACCATATATAAATAAATAGATACATAAATAATAATATGCATTATTATTCATATCGTACAATTAACAATAAAAATATGTTGATCCATGAAAACACGATCTAAAAAAATCTTTTGAAACATTTTGACAATTTTATTGAATTCGTGCATTGACTCTTTGATTTATTTATTTCCTTTTCCCTCGTTTTCGTACTGAATACCTATATACATGATAAAACCTTCGGATTATTCGGAATATATAAATAAAAATAAAAGGGGCCAACACGCACACACACACACACACATAAATATACCGAGATTTCTAGTTTCTTCTCTCGAGAATTTTTTAAATGAAGTTATATCCATATATTTAAATTTTAGATATAATTATATAAAATTATATTCTATAATATCAATTGCTTTATTTCGATATGATATTTTTTAATTGAACAATTCTTATTTTTTCTTATTGTACATATATGTGTACGTAAATACGAGTACTTACTCTTATGTGTCCTATTTCGAATAGCCTTCCTCTTCCATTTGTACCCTTGGATAAAATAAAACCCTTAAAAACGTTCAACGTTTTATCGTTATTATCCAATTCAAGGAGAACATTATTTCTGATCGTAATGTCTGCGGCCAAATAGATTTCAATAATCTTTATAGTTTTTCCTTTAAGTATTTCATCATTCTTGTTTATTTTTATCGAATAGAATGATTACAAAAGAAATAATTGTTATTATTATAATAATTGCGATGATGAATGTAAATTCGATTTATCTGAAAATCATTTTTATTCGAGTTTCAGGACAGTTTCTCCATTTTTTTCAATCATCACATTTAACAATATAAAAATGCAATGTTTCTTGCATTTCTTCTAGGACACGTTTTATCTCCAATAACAAAGAAATCAAAGAACAAAAGTTAAAAGAAGAAATTATTATTATTATTATTATTATTATTATTATTATTATTATTATTATTATTATTATTACGATAATAATTGCGAGAAAAGACGTTCGATTTATCTGAAACTAATTTTTACTCGAATCTCAGGATAGTCTTTCTTCGTTCTTTACGAATACCAGTTATTATCGATGAATGTTCCTTGCCTTTCTCGAAGAAAACGTTTTATTTCTGAAAAGGAATTATAGACAGAATTTATTATTATTATTTTTATAATAAATTGTGAGAAAAGATTTTCCATTTATTTGAAATTAATTTTTATTTGAATTTTAGCACCCAATTTGTTTGTTCCTTACGAATATCATTTTTTATCAATGAATGTTCTTTAATATTTCTCAAAAAGACACATTTTATTTCTGACTTTAAAAAAGAAATGAAAAGTTAAAAGAACAAATTATTATTATTATTATTATTTTAATAATTGCGAGGATAGAGATGTTCGATTTATCTGGAAATAATTTTTAGTCGAGTTTTAAGGACAGTTTCTTCGTATTTTTACGATCAGCACTTTGAAACAATGAACGTTCCTTGTATTTCTTAAATAGACGAGTAAAACTTTCTGTCATTATATATAATGTATGATACGCTTTTAAAAATACTATAAAAGATGTTCCTTCTCCCTTATTCTTTTCTCTTTAGAGTATAAACGTGATAGATAATGTAAAAACAGGTTAAACTCTGTTCGCCGTCGTCGTTTTCGTCGTAAAATAGAACATTTTCGAAAGAAAAAAAAAAAAAAAAAAATAAGAGAAGACCATACTTTAAGATAATTCTGTAAAAGATATTTACTCTTATAGAAAATGTTCTATTTGTTAACAACAAACAACATACTCGTTATATCTCAATTCTTTTATGAAATATTTAAATAATGTACAAACATTGAATTATACTTTGAATTGAAAGAAATGTATATAAGTAGAATATAGGATTTTCATTTGTTTATAACAAACATACTCATTTTCTTTACTTCTTTTAATTGAAATATTTAAATAATGTATTTAATATATGAAAGTTTGTAGAAAACTCCAGTAAAGTTTTTAATGTGTTTATTGTTGAGTAAAATTCTTTTGAAATGTGAAACTACATTTTTATTTTTCATTTTTTATTCTTATTTTCTTTTCGTATAGAACGTGACCGTGTTTCACTTTTGCGGTAGAAAGAATAGTATAAAAAGTTAAAAATCTGATACTCTTGAACGTTTTTCTCAGAAATATTTTCTCATCCACATGTATATTTTTTTCATTCTTCTATCATCGATAAACATCGACTTGTGTGAAATCGCGTGGGACAAATATAGAAGTTCATATTGGTTTTCTCTGTTACTTTTTTTAAATGAGACGCATCAATCGAGAATAGATTCGATATCTTTTATCTGTATGTTGTACAAATGTTCCAAAGAATCATTGAAAATAGAAAACCTAATATCTGTACACCCACCTCACCTTTCACGTCCCCTTCAACCTCCACATACACACATGTATACATACACACATATTGGATCAAATATGATGGAGTAATATGTTAAATTGACAAAATTTGTTTAAATAATTCAAGTTACAAACGTGTATTTCTATATTTTCTCTTTCTCTTTCGTGATTAAAAGCAAGCAAGATGATTAATCACAACTGTTATATTACAATGATTTATTAAATACGAATCAAACAAACAAGTGATACAAATACTTCGTAAAGGTTTGTGTTAATGAGATTCGTGTTCATTCGAGTTATTCTAGTCATTGATTAACATCGATGATCGATGAAATTGTTTATTACGTTCTTCCATCGGAGACGTAAAATTAGACTTATACGTTGGATGATATATCGAAGGAGGCTGGGTCAAGGAACAATTTCTATTCATGAACGTAGAATAACTAAATCAATCTCCTAAGATCAACAGGCTTAAACTGGATTTTGAGATTATATTATGGAAAATATAATCAATTATTTATATCAGATATAGTACATGAAAGTTCTTTTATATAGATATTTTTCTTCTTGAAGAACAAAGTTTGTTATACTGGTTTGTTTAAAAATTTATTATATATCTCGTTGTTTTGTGTAATTTATACGAGCAGTACTTGTTTAAAATGTTGTTATTAATCATGTTAAATGTATCAAATTTTATTCAATATTAATTTTTATGAATTATGATATAAATAAAATAATATAAAATATGTTATATATATATATATATAAATAATTATGACAGTGGATTAAATTAAGCAATTGAAAACAATTAATTATATGATTTATTTTATATTAAAAATTATTAGTATTATATTATAAAATAAGTCATAAAATTAATTCACTTAATTGTGCTGTCTTAATTTATTGTCATAATTATAATTACACAGATATAAATGAAATATATAATTACACAAAATGAAAATTATTAATGGACATTTAAGCGAATCAATCGGTTGGAATTACGAACAATACTTTAATATTCATGCTTTTGTATTACAAT